AGACAGTTACAGTGATATTCATAACTATATAAACATAACTGTGACATAAGTATGTAAACTTAGGTGTGCTATAAAATAAAACCATTCTTAAGTGCATAAAATAAAAATCACCCTAACAGGCACTATGTCTGCTCTTTCCCGGGATTTGACCAGTCTGCAGTGAAAAGCTCTACTATGTCTTTTAACTCTTTCAGTCTTCTTTTTTTTTTTTTTAAGTTGTTGGAAAGTTTATCACATTAAGTGCTATGATTCAGTTTCTAAATTGGAGCCAGTCTTCCTGTCAGTATCATTTGGGCTCCAACAGCTATGGCTGTTGGGATTCAGCATAATCTGTTGGGATTTTTGATTACACTTGTTCTGTTGTCAGGCTGAGGTGTGTGAGGAGCTGGCAGCACGTGTACTTCCTGCATCCTGTCTGCAGCAGCTGGACTCGGTCAACTGGAAGGAGAGACTGGCCAGTATGGAGGAGTTCCAGCGGGTAAAGTCCAACATTATTTCATGATCATTTAATAAGAAAATACTTGGAAACTTTTATCTGTTTGTATTAAAATGATGGTACCTGTCATCAGTGATGGAATATGTACTCAGATTGTTTGCTTAAGTAAAAGTAGCAATAACAGTGTGAAAATACTGTTACAAGTAAATGTCCTGCATTCAAAATGATACTTGAGTAAAAGTAGTACAGTAATAGCATCAAAGCATAAAGAAGTCAAAGTAGTCATGATGCAGAATGGCTTAACATTAATGTACTGTGTGTCATATAATTGCATTATAATTACTGATACATTATGTGCATCATATTTAATGTTGCAGATGGTAAAGGTGGAGCTAGTTTTAACTAGCTTGTATGCCTCTAGTTTGAATTTTCCACTGTAGATCAATAAAGTCTTATGATTTTACTGTATTTTGTTTTATTTATTTCATTCTGAAAAGTAATTAGTAACTAAAGTTGTAAAATATATGTTATGGAGTAAAAGGTACAGTATTTGCCTCTAAAATGTACTGAAGTATGAACTAGCACAAAATGAAAATACTCAAGTCCAGGCCCCTCAAAATTGTACTTAAGTACCATACTTGAGCAAATGTGCTTAATTACATTTCACCACTGCCTGTCATGTTCTATCAATTATCATAAGACAAATTGATATACTTGGTCCTAGAAATGCAGAGATTGGTTGATTTTTCAAGCTAAATGCTATTTAATCATTCCAGCTTCTCAGATGTGAGAAGGATGATCATAAGGATAAGATGCTTTTATTTGTACTGTAAAAGTAAACAGAATATCTTTGGGTTTGGGGCTGTTGTGTGAATATACCACCTGGGGCTATTGGATATCATAATAGACATTTCTCTCTTTCTCTCAACCTAAAGTAAATATTGAAAGTTCTGGCTGTGAAAATACATGGAAGAAAGTTGTATGTGATTATTATTATGTAGTTTTCAGTGTGGAATACTTGAAACGCTACATTGCATGGAAAAGACTGATTTGTGCTTCCCGTATGCTTCTAGGCTGTTGAGACCATGGATAAGGTGGAGATGCCTTGTCAGGCCTTAGTCAGGATGTTGGCCAAGAAACCAGGCTGGAAGGAGACAAACTTCCAGGTAACTGTCTGTTGCAGCAGTTGGTGATGGAGCTGTTGAACATTCATTTTCTCAAAGTATGCATAAAGCCGATGACACCCTGTAGTACATCACTTAATCATGCCAACAGTGAAAAAATTATTTTTAAGTAGATGTTGAGAGGCTCAGAAAACAAAATCTAAAACCTTATTTGTCCAGTCACTAACAGATTTAAATAGAAGGTATGCTGTTCGTTAAAAGAAATGCATGATAGCTGATCTCTTGTATCTTGGCTCATGTCTCCTCAGGAATCCTTTCTAGCTCCCTAGATGCCCTGAAAGCCAGATGGCCAAAAATGTTCTTCTTGCAGAATAAAGTGATTTCTTGCCACTGAGTGAAATCCTAATTTCTGATTTTTGGATAATACCATTGGGATTACACACCAGTTTTTTCTTGGGTGTGGTGTAATCTGTACATAAAAATTCCCGAGAGCAGAAATAAAAGCATTGAGGAGGTCTGCTTGATGTGAGACCAGAATGAGGAAGTGAGGAGCGATCAGTAAGGTTTGGGATGTGTCCATTATAACGTCTCCTGTCTCTCTGTAGGTGATGCAGATGAAGCTGCACATTGTGGCTCTTATAGCTCAGAAAGGACAATTTTCAAAGACATCAGCCTGTTTGGTTTTGGAAGCCTTGGTGGATAAGGTGGGAGACATCAAATGTGGTGGAAATGCTAAAGAGGGACTGACTGCTATAGGAGAGGCCTGCTCACTGCCATGGACTGCAGAACAGGTTTCTAAATAATTTCTCTGGACAGAAGACAACATCTTGTTGCTCAACTGTACAGGCATAAAAATGTTCTGAAGTTCTAAGACCACAAAGCGTGATCAGTGGATGTTCATATATACACACAACACAACAAAGTTTGTGTATTTTTTTTTTCAGGTTGTGTTTATGGCATTTGCACAGAAGAACCCTAAAAACCAGGCAGAGACTCTCAACTGGCTGGCCAACGCAATGAAGGAGTTTGGCTTCACTGGGTAATTTCCAGTCCTTATGTTGTATGTAAAAATTTAAGAGTACCTTGAGGGCACCTGCTGACCTTTGACTTTCCCTCTGTTCAGGATTAATGTGAAGGGTTTCATCAATAACGTAAAGACCGCTCTGGGAGCGACTAACCCTGCTGTTCGGACCGCAGCCATCACTTTGTTGGGAGTCATGTACCTCTATATGGGAGCTCCTTTGCGCATGTTCTTTGAAGATGAGAAACCTGCTCTCCTTGCTCAGATAGATGCTGAGTTTGAGAAGGTAGGGTCAGAAGATAAAAGAAACGGAACAAATAGAAGGGACTAAAAATAAACTTAAAAAGTAAACCCTGTGATTCTGAAGCGGGTCGAACCATCATCCATTTGTTTTGCAGCCTACAGCTTACTTGCCTGTTTTTAGCCACCAAAGTATTTCTAACACCTTCATTTGTGGATTTTTATTTCCTTTTCTGACTTTGAGTATATAGTGGTAACCTAGGTATCCAGTTACGTTCAGTCTTCATCAGCAATTCATCAGACCTTATTTGTAGCCATCTGTAACTCTCAAACACGTTTCAGGCACAGACATTTTCCTTGCTCTAAGATTTTGTGGGAAATGACCACAATAGAAAACAGAAAATCACTGGGCTTATTCTTATAAGGTTTTCTTACCACTTGTAATCTTGATAGCAAGTGAGGAAATTGAGGTGTTTCCAACAAAAGGAACCAAGTTCCAAGGAACTTTTTTGGAACTAAAAGTCTTTGCTTTCCCCTTTTTTTCCCAGCACATTTGAAGAACCAATCAAAATTCACCCTAAAAAAAACAAAAGGCCCTGTTTGTACTGACTGCAGAAGAATGATGCTGACATTAGGTATAATGTTTGAATGAAGGGGCTGAAACTGAGATGAAACTGAAACCCCAGAGCATCAGAGTTCCTCAAAAGGTTCCTGTTCCTGGGAAGTCAAAACCCACTTTAAGAAATCTATTCGTTTGTGTCTCCAGATGCAGGGCCAGTCTACACCAGCTCCGATCAGATTCACCAAGAAGGCCACGGCAGAGGAGCAGTGTAATGGAGAGGAGCAGGAAGAAGATGCAGGAGGCCAAGACATCATGGACCTACTGCCCAGAACCGATATCAGGTAGCCAAACAATGAGCCTACACTAATAAAATGCAGGCAAACGTCAGTACTTTTAAAGCTGTGAAGAGAGTAATAATTGATAAATGTAAATCTTATTTTCTGGGAATTCTTAAGCTCTAAGGACTGAACCATAAATGAGAAACATGCTTCCCAGTATTGCAGCTCCATTTTGCTTTTTGTAAAGTAACTTAAATGTACATAACAAATTTTAATGCTAAAATCCTTAGAATTTAAGCTCGGCCAAATATTTGTTATTATATGCAGTATGTGATACTGACAGAAGCAGATATTTGCAGTATGACCAACAAAATAGCTATAAAATTTGATGCCACTACATTGTAAATAAAACAAAGAAAGTCAATACTTCACTGAGCTGAGTGTCTTGAAAAACACTGCATTGTCTGGGTAAATAAGTTTTGTATTATCATTTTGGTGAGACTGAATTGTCTAATCTCAGCATGAGCTGGCAGCTGAAATTAGGGCAGTGTGTGAGGAAAGCATTAGTTTATGCCCTGTTTTAGTAACATTTTTGTTCAGTCTGAATACCCCATGAGGTTTTTGAATGCACCATAATATGTCACGTGCATGGAGTTAGAATTACATGGTCAGAAATGGACATTCAGAAGGACAAAGCCCTTTTGGTGTTATGCTGGGTTCTGACTGTTTGCAGAGAACTATGTGCCCCTTGCATGAGCGCACACAGCCACTGTATGGTGAGGGCTAGGACAAAATACAGTACAGTTTTTAAGTGATAAAGGCCTAGTCTTCTTTGCCAGGTGCATATGTGTCCTTTGATTCCTGTCTCAGACTTTCTAAAGAAGTAAGTCTGCGGTGCTTCCGCCAATGCGGTAAGGATGTCACTAACCATCTGAGAAGAAAAGAAAGGTTGGCCAAGAAAACTGAGTTTTAAAAGAGGAGTGGACAGAGAAATATGCATTCATTTTGTCCCAATCCAGCATGAGGCCCTTGTTGGATTTGCATAGAGACTGAGAACACAGAGGTGAGGACAGCAAAACGCTGACAGTTCAAATCTTCCTGTGAATCAACAAACAAGCTGTTTGTGAGATCTATGACACAGCAAGAGGGAGCTATCTTTGATTGGAATTGACATTACTCTAATTATTGGCTCTTTGGGACCACCAAAGCTTTTTCTTTTGCTTCTCGGGGAGCGCGGGTCTCTTTTGGTGGAGTTCTTGGTGGAGATGGAGTCATCACCCCCTCCTCCCATCGTCTGCTCTCCTCCACTGTCCAGGCGTACAGGGAAACATGTTTCCTTACTGTGCACATGACAGTAAACACTTTGATAAACTCTGATGCAGTGCATCTCAGATCCATGGAGGGTGTAGAACAAAGTGCTGGCAGCTTGAGAGAAGTGCCCATACAAAAAGTAAGATGCAAAGTGCTGATACGGCATACTTGTGCGTACCAGCCCAGTTTAGGCACTGAGATGCATGCTTTAGTTGGTCTGTTTACTGTGAAACCTGCAGTGGAGAATATGCGGTCTAATGGCACCAATGTGTGTACAGTTAGGGGTGTGCATCCCTATCGTTTGCTTTACTGAAGTTTGTTGCTTTCGCTTGCTATCAGATTGACTCTGGAATGTTTTCTCTTCTGCCTCCTGTTGTCTCCCTTTCCTCCCACGTGTAAGTGACAAGATCACATCAGAGCTGGTGTCTAAAATCGGGGATAAGAACTGGAAGATCAGGAAGGAAGGACTGGAAGAGGCTGCGGCCATCATCTCAGAGGCCAAGTTTATCACAGCCAACATTGGAGAGCTGCCTCTGGCCCTGAAAGGACGACTGAGTGATTCCAACAAGATTCTGGTTAGTCAGAGAGCAGGCCTGGGTCTGTAAAGTAGGGCTGCAACAACTAATTGATAAAATCAACAAGTAAAATAGTTGGCAGTGAAAGTAATTCTAGATTAGCTGGGTCTAGTCACGCAGCTGAATGAGACGGCCAAGAGTAGACATGGCTGGGTCAGCAACTGTGAGAGTGAAATGGTTCCACACCAGCTTGGTAGGTAGTGGTAATACATTACTGGTTGGCTCCCCAGCTGCTAGTCAAAAGATGAAGAAGAAGGAAGACTGGGTGAGAATGTCAGTGAGGCCTTTCAAATGGCTACTTAAACATTAACTCTAGATGAAGATTTAAGAACTACTGTGGATGTTAAAATGACATTTAGACTTTTGCTCTGCAGGTCCAGCAGACCCTGACTATCTTGCAGCAGCTGGCTACAGCCATGGGACCTGGACTCAAGCAGCATGTTAAAGCACTGGGAATGCCTATTATCACTGTGCTGGGAGACAGCAAGGTATTCTACACTGACATCAGAGACGCACACACCTGTGTTTCCCGCAGTAACGCCATTGTAGTGTTTGTAGTCCTATGAAGGCTCATTTCTGTCAATGCAAAGCCCTTTGTTCTTTTTTCAGTTTAATACATTGCTTTATTCATTTATTACTTAAGTGTTCTAGGATTTTGGCAACATGAAGAGAACATAGACTTTTTTGATAAGAATAAAAACGTGTAATACCTGACTGTGTGTTGGCGATGGCCTTTTTTCTGTTCTTCTGCAGCTTAACGTAAGGGCGGCTGCCGTGACCACTCTGCAGGCGTGGGTGGAACAGACTGGGATGAAGGAATGGTTGGAAGGAGAAGACCTGTCAGAAGAGCTGAAGAGAGAGAATCCCTTCCTACGACAGGAGGTATGTACAGATACACACTCTGTCCTGTCTTGTGTGAGAAGGTGATACACAAAGTGCGGATCAGACACATTTTGCCATAAAACTGTTCATCATACAGGTGCTTGGCTGGTTAGCAGAGAAGCTTCCCACCCTGAGGACAGTACCCACGGATCTGATGCTGTGTGTTCCTCAGCTCTACACCTGCCTAGAGGACAGGAATGGAGATGTAAGGAAGAAAGCTCAGGATGCCCTGCCCACCTTCATGATGCACCTGGGCTATGACAAAATGACAAAGACTACTGGGAAACTCAAGGTACTGAACCGCCTGATTGAGTTGGGTCTAATGAATAACACCATTTTAATAGACCTTTTCAGTGCCTGACCTCTGACAGAAGGAATTCATAGCTGTCTTGTCTTGTCAATACTTGCCCCCGTCCTCATTTCTCTCCAGCCTGCCTCGAAGGACCAGGTGTTAGCCATGCTGGAAAAGGCCCGAGCAGTAATGCCAGCTAAACCTGCTGCTCCTGCCAAAATCGGAGGGGGGAAAAGCTCTGCAGAAAAAAGCAGATCTGCTTCAGGTTTTTATAGCATCACAGTCAATGACGTTTAGACTTGGTTCAACCACAGCCTTCATGTTGAGTTGCCAACACAGTTGCCATGTTGATGTGGACTGTCTTGCTTTGTTTTCTACAGTTTTCTCTGTCGTTTGAGTGTGTTAATGACTTGATAATGAGCTTTGAAAGACGAGTGTGGAGGTCTGTGTGAATACTGTGTAGCCTATCACCAAGAGACTGACGTTAGCGTAGCGAAGCAGCAAACGTATTGACAAACAAGCAGCTCAGCACTGCAGCACTTCAGTTAAACTGGTAGGACAAAGAAAAGATGTTTCTACAGACCAGTGCTTGTTTTGGATCATGCTGGCTTCTTTGGTAGTAACACTGCAGCATGGATGCTGTTCTCCACTGCTGCAGATGTAACGTAACAACAGCACAACCGAGCACTTTGCTTTATTCACCCCCTCCCCTTGACATCTCACACATCAGCTACCAAAACCCAGCAGTGGAAGAAGCCTAGTCAGATGGTTTACTGAATCTGCAATAAATGTTGTTTCCTCTCCAAATCCACCCATTTGATCCCCAAGTGTTCATCCTCTACCAGGTTAAGCTTTTACTTGGCTTGGCAGTCTGATCCCTGGCTCCTCCCTCTGTGTCTAATGTGCATGGCCAATAAGTGATAATCATTATGCAAATGAAAAGCAAGTCCCCACAATGTAAATTATTACATTTTAGAGTGGTGACATGGTTTAAGGTTGGGGTACAGTGCCAGGAAATGAGTGCAAGTCAATGTAATGTCCCCTGACGTAATGGAAATGCAACGTGTGTGTGTGTGTGTGTGTGTGTGTGTGTGTGTGTGTGTGTGTGTGTGTGTGTCTGCACACGAATAAATGGGTGAATGAGATAAAACGATACTCGACTCAATTTCCAATGCAAAATGTATTTAAAAAGATATGCAAAAGCATTATTGGTTAACAAAAGTACAAATCCGATAAGTGTGTGCCATCAGAAGTTTTGATAGTTTGCTCAGTAACTTATTAATAAATATGGTATATTCACACCCTGGAGAGAATTTGATCTCTGCTTGTCCTCTGTAGCCTCTAGGTCTCAGCCAGCTTGTGAAGACTTTGACAGTAAACCTGAAGTTAAGAAGGTCCGAGGAGGAGTGGCTGCTAAGAAGGTATGTCTGTCTTGAGATCTGTACCAGGATAGTTATTCGCACATCCACCATTTGTATTTTAGTTGTTGTCAGTCCAGTGTTTTAGCAGGCATGCATATTTTCACATTTTCTTTTTTGCCTGTGCCCACCATTTGGTTTTGTTTGTCATTTCATGACCGCAGTGTAAAGGATTTGGTTTTTCTATTCACCCAGCCTCCCTCCCCTCCCGAGGAACCTATGTCTCCCCCTCCCTCCAAGGACCAAGACAGTAATGCTAGTAAAAAGCCCCCCGGCAAAGGGAAGGCTGCTGCTGGCAGTCAACAGGTAGATGTGTGACAGGTGTCCTGATCAGTCTCAGTCCTGAATGTCTTTACACTTCATTTACATGCTGCTACTTAATAAACCAGGCGTAAGCTGCAGATGGGGGGGACTAGAGGGCCCCTGTCTAGCTTCTCTTTGCCTTGACCTCGTCTGATCTTGGCTCAGTCTAATCCTCTCTCTCTCTCTTATTGTGTGAAGTGAAATCAGTTTAACATGCAACAATGCACAGAGGAACAGAGAGGTCACATGCCACTTTAATGTTTCAGGTCAATCCACTGTATGAATGTGTTTCATGTTTTTTACAAATATCACATCGTGTTTCTACACCCTGTGTCTCCTATTTGTACCCTTACTCTTACACATACAGTACCTCTTCAATGAGAAAACATGATTACACACAAATTATCAGTACATGTCCACAGACAGAGTGGGATGTTTCCTTTCTCAGGGTGCAGCTGGTAAGAAGCCTGTAGCCAAAGGCCTAAGGGACGATGAAGATAAGTCCGGGCCAATCTTCATCCTCATCCCCAGTGCTAAGGAACAGAGGATCAAAGAGGAGAAGCAACTGAAGGTATCTCATTAAAATGATATACAGCTTAGGGGTGGACATTGTTCCACCTCAAAGAAAAATTTTAAACTCATTTGTTTAGTTGTGACATCATCAGTGTCACATGCTCGCCACCACAATCAAAAAACCCAAAGCTATGCGACTAACTAGTGTGGGAACCACAGGCATCATTTTCATTGTTGCTCTGTCTTTTTGCTGCTGAAGCCAAACATTGTTCTGGCAGTTCTGTAACTTGATCCTGCATAAAGAGCACTCAGCTTTGTTGTCCAGCTGAGTAAAATAATACAAATTTATCTTTTGCCAACGTATCTCCTGCCTGCTCTCCAGAGAAACTCTGTGTAGCACGCGGGTCCTTTTTAGTGCTCTGAATATAAATAAAAATAAACTGGACAGATGAAACCACAATGGAATGTAGCCAGACAACCAAGAACTGCAAGTCGCTTGATAGTTGAAATGCAAGCATTAATAACTGTTGGCTAGTAATGAGTTTTACCTTTAAACACATTTTAGATTTATTGCAGAAATATTGTTTAACATTAGTTTTTTAATAAAATATGATGAGTAATGGAAAAAAAAAAAGCAGGAACGAGCCAAGAGCAGGGTCGATTTTACGGTCAATGCTCCTTATAAAATATAAGAAAATCTAAACTCATGAACGATATTTTGCATTTTTAGGTGATTGGTCAATCGGACTGCCGCAGATGGCTGCCTCGGTTCTGTACCGGAAACAAATTCCTTGTGTGTAACACACTTGACCATGCACAAACTACTACTCTCACTGTAGAAAAGCTGGACAGATGTAAACATCTCAGCAATACTATCATGGCAGCGTCTCTGTCGCTCACCTGGCTCATGAAGCTGAGACTTCCAGTCTATCAGATGTGTCAATCCACACAGACTCCGAGACAAACGCGTCTGGACCCCTTTTTAACGCTTTGAGTATATTTTTCCTTTGGTGCTTTTTGAAGTGTAATTTCCATAGAAGTTGAACTATGATAGGCTAATCGTTATTATCGTCATGTTGACTGCCAAGCTATAGAGCACTGCAGTGACATAAACACATCAGTTTTCCCATTTGTGTTCAAGTCTCCCTCTTTCTGAATTTCATTATAAATACAAGACTATGCACACTGGTAGGTAAGGGTATTTAAAATAATTTATGGAAAATATAGATTCTTGTGCATTATATTGTAAAACATAGGTGGTGCCACCAGTATGAAATGCTAAAATAATAAGGTGGGTGCAGATTTCAGCAAATGAGACAGTGTTCATTTTTATTTTCATAAATCATTAAGGTTAAATGTTCCTTTAAGTTCAGGAAATGTGTGTCTCATTTGATATAAAATTGGTGTATTATATTCGATATGAAAAGGGTGAAAATGCATATCGGCTTCTCTAAAAGCTGGCATCAGTCATTGAAAAACCCATATCGGTCAACCACTATTAAGGACTGGTTATAATTATTTCTTTTGGGTAGGAGCTTTGAATGAACTTGGCTTCCCTGAGTTCACCGAATTGTCTCATAAACAAAACTTACCAGAAATACTGTTGACACAAAACTCCTCTTTTGTGCTCTAGATTTTGAAGTGGAACTTCATCACTCCTCGAGATGAATATGTGGAACAGCTGAAAACTCAAATGTCCACCTGCTTTGCAAAGTGGCTGCAAGATGAGCTCTTTCACTTTGACTTCCAGAGACACGTCAAGGCTATAGGGGTCATGATTGAGGTAATGGTTGGTTCCATAGTTCAGAGTTTTGGGAGTACACTACTTTTGGCAGTAATGCTTGTGTTTGTTTTTGACAGAGGCTGGAGGGTGAGAGCGAAGCCACCATCAGCTGCCTGGACCTAATTCTGAAGTGGTTCACTCTGCGGTTCTTTGACACCAACACTACAGTCCTGATGAAGGTGCTAGAGTATTTAAAGCTGTTGTTTGCCATGCTGAACAGAGAGAACTACCACCTGACTGAATATGAGGCCAGTTCCTTCGTTCCCTACCTCATCCTCAAGGTGAGTGCACATTACCCTCAGAATGATGAAATAAACCACTGTAAAGCTGATTTTGCTCAGTGGCTTCTTTTTGCTGCTTCAGGTTGGCGAGTCAAAGGATGTGGTTCGCAAAGATGTGCGAGCCATACTAGCCATGCTGTGTAAGGTTTACCCAGCATCCAAGGTCTTTCCTTTCCTCATGGATGGAACGAAGTCCAAGAATTCAAAACAGAGAGCTGGTATGTCTCCTCATCCAATGCTCTAACTCAGGGGTGTCAAACTCAATCGCCCAGGGGCGAAAACTCAAAGCACACTTTAGGTCGCGGGCCGAACAGGATAAAAATTTATTGAACAGACTAAAACTAAACATTTTTTGAACATAAATATGAATCGAAACAGACAGGATACAATATTATTACAAAATAAATAAACTTGAACTTAAAATCAGCGACCGCATTTCTGCTAAGGCTTACATTTGCAAACACCTGCTTTTTGTCTGGACACAAGACGTCGCACACTTTCATCTTGCGGCTCTTCAGAAACTCCCTCGGTAAATGGCCGGCCTGATTTGGCTATCTCCTCTGCCGCAATAAAACTTGCTTTCACAGCAGCTTCACTGTGATGAAAACGTCTGCTGTGATGTCAGATTCCTCTTCAACTCCTCTACCTTCTGTAGCTTCTGCTCTGCATTCACATTGTTTGAAGGCCACGATATGCTAACCCCTGGACATAGGAATAAAGCTTACCTCTCACACTAAGGTGGCATATTTGAAACATTACAGCTCCAAACACTGCTTGAGGTTGTATGACTGAGCTATTCACTCAGTAATTGACTACCATGAAGCTGCGAACAGAGTTCCCTGCAGACCTCCCTCTTTCATGCTATTAATCCAGGATAAGACCCCAAACCTCCCAAATAACAGCAACCTGCAGTTATTGTGGCAGCTACCTCCTTAACCCTCAGATGTTACTGTACTGAGAAATTTTTATAAACCAGTACTCTCTGGCTTTTTGAGGAAGTGTTAAATTTTGTCTGAAATGACCAATGAAAGCTGTGTCACTGGACACTTAAGACCATATATTTAAAGAATAGTGTGTAGTATGTAACAAGTAAATAACTGGATATTTTAGATGAAATCTTTTTCTAATATAACTTTCTAAACACCGCCTCCCTTCGGACAGCCAGCTGGTTTTGTATGGCATAACACCCGACCCAATCAGAAAAGTGCTGCTTGTGTTGTCACTGTGAGGTTTCCACAGCCAGGCAGCTTGTTAACACTGCTGGGTTGCCACTGCCTGTTTTAACTTTCTGAGACACTGTTGAGAAGGTTGGCATACAATTAATACTATGAATTGTAAACCCTTTTCTGATGTATCTGTCTAAAAATGATTTTAGCAGTTCAATCTGGGCTTTCTGTCAACCCTGTGAACTGTTATGCAACCTCACACACTCACTAAGACTTAGGTAATCACACTCACTGGGAATTGGGTAACCAAACACTGAAAAATGTGTGTCTTAACCCTTACCACTTAAAAGTGCAAACTCACTAAAATCATAGGAATGTCAATAACATCAAACTTGACTCAATAACCACAGAGAGTATTAAACCTTTTCAGGAGTTTTATATAGAAGCTTAACAAAGCTGCAGCAAAGCAACAAGCAATAAAATATAAACCTTAAAATCATCAATAATCAGCTTCCAATCTAAATAAATCAACTACTAATTCTAAACATAAATTTAAAATGATCATACTGATTAAAATCATTGTGGTTGAGCTAGGCTCTTGATCTGAATAAAAGTCAAAGGTCTTGCGTCACCAATCCTCAGCTGGCTCTGGGCGGGCAGTGGCAGATTGGGGCAATCACTAGTTCCTCTTTTTCTTTTTTGCCATGATTCAAGCTTTCACAAGGGAAAAGAATTTACAAACAAAAATATCAAAGCTCATCTGGTTCAATCCTCAAAACTCTCGAAGAGAGAAATGGGACAAATTCAGATAAACAATGTTTTTCTTGGTCAAATCTTGTGTGACTCAGGAA